CTCTTTCCCCTTTACAAACAGTAAGATATTGGCCTAGATAGAGCACCTATCTAAAAGACAAGTGAGCTCTGTCCTTTCCCCCTCACTATTTGAGGGGATCTGAAACATTTCTGAAGGGTGTACGTCTATGTAAGTCCACCTGTTTTATCTGTCATCTCAATAAGTTATTTGTGAAAGTCCTGGGAAAAGTTTGTAGGACTCCTAGCCGGCTCGTTTTGATTCCGACCAGGAGAGGGCAGCGGTGTGCACGGATGGATATTTATATATACAAGCACTGAAGTCATGGAGTGAAGAAAATAACACATTGTAAAATTCAGAGCAAAGATAAGCCAACTGCAGACAAATATATAAAAGAGAGAGAGAGAGAGAAAAGCACATTCCTCCACAGGCATGTTACTGACTGCCTACAGCCAGGAACAGAGGGGTATTTTGTTTGTGGCGTGTGTATTTCCTTGGCTTTCTCCTCATAAATAAATGATTGTTGGGACTCTACAGTAAGTGAATAATAATGGTTTTGTGTGCCCGACAGTTTGCTACTCCACTATTTGTGAGACTGTTTGTATAGGAAATCTAAGTGTCGGCAGTGCTGGATGTACGTCGCTCTGCACTGCTGTGTCTACATGATAGTTGCACATGGGGGTGCACGTGTGTGTGTGTCTGACCGCAGTTCTATGTACAGGCAGTCACGTATCCCTCATGGATGGTAGTATGACTCTTCATATGTGCATGTGAGACACGTGTGCCCTTGTGCTTGTGATTTGTAGGTGTAAATAGGATGGTCTCCTACACCGCCACTTTCTGTGCGTGAAGTCACGGTTGTCTCCGAGTTGCGTGTCCCTTTTCTCTCTACGCGTGGCTGCGCGCTCATGTGTGGGTGACTGCGTAACTCTATGACTACGGTGTCACATTTGTGCATGTCGCCTCCTCGTCTGTTGTTGCTCCTGCCTGTGTTTCGTGCGTCCCGCCGGGGGAGATCTTTGTGCAGTGTTTGGTTGTGTCTTCTGCATGTGTCTTTCTGTGTAAGTTGTGTGTGTGTGTATGTGTGTGGCTACGGTTGTCTCTCTGGTGCCTACTGTGGTGTGTGTGTGTGTGGGGGGAGAGGTGTGTTTAGCTGCGTGCGTGCGTGTGTGTGTGTGTGTGTGTGTGTGTGGGTGGGTGGGTGGGTGGGAGGGATATGTGTGTGTGTGGCTGTCTCCCTGAGGAATCATCCCGGGTGTGTGTGCAGGGGAG